CCCCAAAACCCCAAAACCCCAAAACCCCATTTCTTTAGAAATCAGTTGAAATTTTGGAGAATTATTGGTTCATTGAAGAATTGACCTGCACGTAGTTGCTCATCTTCGACTTGAGCTTTCTTCGGTAAGGGTCTGCTGACCGCAGGAGGTTTCGCTTCGCGAAAGCTCGTGCTCGGAGCTTAGGCGTGGCTGAGCCCTAGGGGTTAGAAGGGGACTTACGAAGAGAGCTGGGTTTCTGGATGGGGGGTTTCGAGCTAGATTTTTTAGGAAGAAAAGTACTGATTTTGGAGTAGGGGTTTGGGAAGTCGGAGTTGAGGAGGTTCTGAGTGGGATTTGAGGGAGGTTGCGTAGGGGTTTCGATGATGGGTTTGGACTTTGTGGATTTTGTTTCTTGGCCACAGGAGAGACATCTGGCGTCTAGCTCTTTGTTTAGAGCAAGAGGAGTGCTTCTTTGGACTATTTTCTCGAGATTGGAAGTTGCTTTTGAAAGAGTCATTATCCAGTTTGTCACTTTTTCGACCTCTTTTGAGGATTTTATATAAACTTGTTTAGCATCTTTAAATTTCTCAAGCATTTTTGAAAACTGATGGTCAAATTCCTCTTTAGTTACTCTTGATTTGATAAGAGTATGAAGAGATTGAAAATTAAGTTCTGATTTAAGACTATTGATTTTCTTCTCCATCCTTTCCTGAAAATCTTTGAAACTTTTCTGCAGCTCTTCTAATTGCTTTCTATATGTAAGCATTAACCATTACGAGTTATAGCCAGGCATCATTATTCCACTATCTGTTGAGAAAGTTTTATTTCTGAGTGGATTATTTTTAATTCTGAACCCCATGGGCTTTCTCTTTCTTTGTGGCAAGGAAATCGAATTGAATCTGCATTAATTTCTCTTCTATTGTGTCTTTCACTTCCTCTCTGATACTGTTGATACTTCTGTTGGTATCATATTGAAGTCTTTTAAATCGATTATTTTATTTCGTCAATATCGTAATGACTTAAGTTAATAGACTCTGTAGGACCTCTTGCTGAAGCAAGTATTTCAATACCTGTATTGTTTAATGCTTTTGATATCGGCTTTGTAAAATATTCCTTTATTTCTTCATCAAGTCTTTTTATTTCTGCGTCATTTTCTTTAAATCTTTCTTCTACTTTCTGATCAGTTTCTTTCTTGGCATCAGAAATTTGCTGAGTTTTCGCTTCTAAATGGGTTGAAATATTAATCTACCAAGTTTTTCTTCTATCATTTGAGCTACTTGTTCTAATATATCAACTTTCTGGTCCTTAAGATCATGTTCAAGAGCAAATATCTGATTACTAAGATTTGAAAGACTTGATGTCATCTGGTTGTCCTTAATTTCCATTTCAAGACACTTTGTATTAATCTTCCTCATCTTATTATCAATCCTAAACCTGACACTCAGTTCCTACCTAGTCCCCATGTCATCTATCAGCTTAAGATAATTCTCCTTAACAGCTTCAATTTCATACTGTACATGGTCATAAACGCTATTAATCTCCATTTTGCTCTTAAGCTGACTTTCGATTCTTATAAGTTTCTTTATAGTATCCTCTTCGATCTTGTATATAGCCTTATTAACTTCTGAAGAATGGTCTGCATTCTTTTTCTCAACTTGTTGCAAGTGCTCTTCTACATTAGACATTCTTGACTTGATCTTGACTTTGAACTTCATGGTCTATAGATTGGGGGTTCAGGACTCACCTTTTCTTCGAAGAGATTGTCGAATTCTCTTCTGTGGACTTTATTTGGCAATATCTGTCTCGCAGCCTTCGAGTTTTTGGTGGAGCTTGGAGATTTTATTTTTGAGTGGATTTTTGGTGCTCAAAGAAGGTTTTAAAACCTTCTTGGTAAGAGTTAAATGCTTCTTGTAGTCTAAAATGCTCAAATAACGATATACTTTTTGATAATAATGTCTTCTTCTTTTATGTCTTTAGTCTGTTTGATCTCTTCTAGTATCAGTTCCTTATTTATGAACTGTTTTAGGAAGGAATTATTCATACTCATGATGAATCCATGAACTATATTAAATTGATTATCATTTTAAAAGTTGTAAAACACACATGCGTATAGTTTTGATATGTAAAAACTGTGATTTAAAAGCAATGAGTAACCATCTGTGTAAATGTTCTGAAAGTAAATGGCATAAATTGAAGCAAAATATTTATATTCATAACCAAATTTAACGGAATCAAATGAATGCTCTCATACTTTCTTCAGCAATGGCTTTAGCATAGCTCTCTTTACTAACTTCGCTGACGTTCTTCTCGATGGCTTTGATTTTGTTCTACAAATTAGCCTTTGTTCTTACAGTTAGTTTAGTTGTATCAAGGTTTGCTGAGATGTCCAGCATTTCCAGAGTTGACATTAGGATTGTTAAAATATTAATAAATATCATTGGGGTTTTGGGGTTTTGGGGTTTTGGGGTTTTGGGG